TATTTTTTCGTAATAAAGCATGACTTATGCTTCATTTGCTTGAACTTATAATTTTAAATTTTCACTATTCTACTAGCGCATCCCCTGCCATGCTCGAATTTTTGTCTTGGGTAAGATAGGTTTCAGTGCGATGAATGATATGGAGGTAAAAAAAGTTTACTTGAAGATCGAGCATGGGTATACTTTCAACGTCAAATTATACAATGCAGACACATACACCCATTTTGAATGCAAAACTTGGCAAACACTATGCAAGGCTTATACATTTGAGCCTGATATGGTTACCACCTTTGATATTCGTCCGAAAGATGATATTGAAGGTAATAGAGACATCTGGGTCGATGTGCAGACGCCTCCAGTTCTACCATTATGTGAGTTTTTCTCAACCATGTTTATGTCTTTGATATTGTTTATTCAAAAATAGGTGACAACTAATTTCTAGTGTCAGCTTATTTCGGTTCAATCAAACATGTCCGGCGCTTGGTAGACAGGACCTACTACTGTCCTGGGGCTGAACTAAACTGCGAGGAGATAAGTCATTATGTTTCATGGCTTGAGGATCTTCATACTGTCAAGACAAATTTTTCTTCCTGCACTTAGAAATATTAGTACTCAAAACGTGCGACCAATAGTGATCGTATTGAACTACGGTCACATCTATAATGGAAAGATGGTAAGATTTTTACTATTTGTCCTTAGTACATCTTTTGCATACATTATTTTTGAAGCTAAACTTTCATTACTAAGTATATTAATTATTATATGATGTTCTTCAACAGGGACTCCCGATGACAGTTGTGCCTTAGTGGATCGAGACAAAAGGTCGCATGTCAACGGTTAGCTTATGACCAAGACATCCTACATTGCACATGAGTGCATTCAGGATTTCTGAAAGCGATCAATGCTTAATAGTGAAAGATTGGAGCAAAATTGTTAACGATCCCAGAGAAGTACTAGGGGGCAGCAAGGAGAAGCGCATCCCACGATTAGGAGACAGATTCATCCGCATGCTCCAGTATGATGAATTAGGAGAGCTATACATGTTCTATACTATTTTATCTGAGAGGGAGCAGCAGGAGTGATTTAGCTAGTTCATACTCTTAGTACTTGTCCTCTCATGTCCGTATTCTCGTCTTGAACTTAATTAATCTTTGCTTGTGAACGCTTATAATATCACGACCATGTTGAACACGATGATATCTTTGCTTCTGTTACAAGTGAATGTTTCTTCTTTAAGCTAGTGTTGGTGGTGAGATTAGATAGCGGTAATGACTATGATGATTAAATAGTGGTAATGACGACTACGATGATTTTTAGCTAACTAGCTAGTATATACTGTTGTTGGTGATGATATGATGCAAGAGTTTATTTATATATGCAAGAGTTTATTTATATATTAATATGTGATTGATGATGATGAGTTATTATATATATATCATTTATGAAAGAAACCGCAAATTAGTTTGAACTGGATGGATCCTAGCTAAGTGATCAAGTGTATATATATATATGTCATATCCATATTACTTGATCACTTAGGTGATCAAGTAATATATATATGGATATATATAGCATATACTTGATCACTCAGCTAGCTATAGGATCCACATATTATAACGTAAAACAATTCTAAATTAAATTGATAACACAAATTTAAAGGAAAAATAAAAAATAAAATCAAAACCCACAAACATTTAGTACCGATTGGTACTAATGATCTACCGCACCCGTGGCCTGGCTCGTGCCACGTGGTTGCACTTTAGTGCCGGTTCGTGCTGAACCGGTACTAAAGGGGGGGGCCTTTAGTGCCCACCCTTTCGTGCCGGTTATGGAACCGGCACTAAAGGCCTTTACGAATCGGGACTAAAGCCCGGTTCTGCACTAGTGAGATCTCCACGGGAGAGGGGGAGAACATTGTATTGAGATCCAAAAAGAGAGAAGAAGCCATCTAGCTACTAACTATAGACCCGAAGGTCTGAGGTAAACTGCTCACACTTCATCAGAGGGGCTATGGTGATGATGTAGAAGCCCTCCGTGATCGATTCCCCTTCCGGCGGAGCTCCGGAACAGGCCCCAAGATGGGATCGCGTGGGTACAGAAGGTTGCGACGGTGGAATTAGGCTTTTGGCTTCGTATCTGATCGTTTGGGGGTACGTAGGTATATATAGAAGGAAGGAGTACGTCGGTGGAGCTTCGAGGGGCCCACGAGGCAGGGGGGCGCACCCTAGGGGGGTGCCTCCACCCTCGTGACCGCCTCTCTTCTTTCTTGACGGAGGGTCCAAGTCTCCTGGATCATATCTGATGAGAAAATCACGTTCCCGAAGGTTTCATTCCGTTTGGACTCCGTTTGATATTCCGTTTCTTCGAAACACTGAAATAGGCAAAAAAAACAGCAATTCTGGGCTGGGCCTCCAGTTAATAGGTTAGTCCCAAAAGTAATATAAAAGTGGAAAATAAAGCCCAATATGGTCCAAAACAGTAGATAATATAGCATGGAGTAATCAAAAATTATAGATACGTTGGAGACGTATCACCTCGCGCCATGCGGCGGCCCATCACAGCCGTCGTTCGCGTGCCGGCCCGCTGTCGATCTACGCCGCGCCTGTATGGCCGCCCTGCCGACGTCGTCGTCGGCTTCATCTTGTACTCCGCCGCCACTCGCCTCCACCGAGCGGCGTCCCCGACCTGGCGCGCGATCGGATTAACCCGCCCGCCGCCGCGATCCACCTCATCTACGCCGTGCTACCGACCTGACCCGTCAGTTGCGCGCACCTCCGCAGGTCCCGTGAAGATTGTCCCAAGTGCAGCGCGCCCCTCCGTTGATCAAGCCATAGGTTGTCGTCGCGTTGTCCCTTCGGAACGCTGCGTCGCCGCCCCGAGGTCTCCCGTCGGCTGCTCCGACCCGCGTGCCGCTCCCTCCGACGCCCCTTCGGGCTGTCGCATCGCAGCCCGCAGTCCATGCCGCCGCCCCGAGATCCTCCCATCGGCTACCCCCATAGCCACCGCCACCTTTGCGTCGCCCCCCTTAGGGTTGTTGCGCTGCGGCACGCGGTCCATGTCGCCTCCCGTCGGGCCGTCGCCCCGGCAAGTGGTTCTCCCCGCAGCTGCCCCGACCTCCGAGCCGCCGCTACACCGTCTCTTCAGGCTGTAGCGCCAGGGAACACGGTCAACGCTGCCTCTTGAGGCCGTCCCCGCGGCATCACCGACCCGTGCACCGCTGTTGCGCCGCCCCTACGAGCCGTGGCGCCGCGGCACGCGGTCCACGCCGCCCTGAGGTCTTCCCACCGTAGCCCCGACCTGCCCGCCGCCGCTGCGTCGCCCCTTCGGGCCGTAGCACTGCAGCCTGCGGCCCACTCCGCCGTCACCGCGCGTCGACTTCTCGTTGGTATGCGTCGCGCCGAGCGCCACGTCCGCGCAGGTCTTCGTCACGTTGTCGGGTTCCTCACCTACTTCGAGCACCGTCGTCGCGCTCCTAACTAAGCCGTCGCCGCCGCTTTTCTTTGTCCGCCGCCCCTGCTACCCCATGGCCGCCGCCGTTGCCCGTCCACCCCCTTCGTCTTCGTCCTACACCAGCCGGTCGCCAACATAGCCTTCATCTACCCCGACCACTTCGTCTACTCCGACCACCGTTGGTGACATCAACTTCACGCCGATTGGCGCCACAACCGTCGTCGAGTCTCTTTCTCTGTTGGCCATCCGACTCCTCGACATGGCATACAGCTCGTGCAGGTCCCTCGTCTATGCATGGCCGGTGCTGGCAACACCGATGCATGCCTTCATCCACGACGTGTCCCCGAGCCTGGCAAGCCTGGTGCGGCGCTTCGTCAACTTTGCCTTCGTCTGTCTTCGCATGCCCGGTGTTGGCAACACCGACGTGTGCGTTCGTCTACGACATGTCCCCGGGTTTGGCAAACCCGGCGCGACGCCTCGTCAACAACATCTTCTTCCCGGCGCACCACTACTTCGACACCACTGCGCCCATGCTAACTCGGTGTCCCCTTGCCCCCGCGGCTCCACGGCGACTTCCTCGACACCGGCCACCCCAACTCGACATCGACCACGGCGTTCTTCGGGAGGCTACCTTGACCATGGCTACACCACCCTACGCTCTCGGCTACCTCGACAACGGCACAAAGGGCTACCGCCTTGCTTGAGCAGCCTCGTGGGTTTCCACTCCAGTCACGACTTCCGCGATGCATGCACTGTTACAACTGTGGGGGGTGTCCGTCGGCTTGGCTTCAAATTCTTCTCCAGTCTCACCGGTTGTGTCGCTACCGTTGTGATTGCATGGGATGTTGAGCATAATGATTACTAGGAAGTATAGGATAGACTAGGATATATATGCCATGAGGCTCAAACAATACAACCTTCAATTCCACCAATATCTCTTTATCTCTTCTAACACATATATGCTGCAACCATTATTTTATGAACAATTTTTTGTCTCAACGAATTAGGTTGTTGCATATATACTCACAAAAATTGTAATATTTTTATTGTCACATGCAACAAAAAAATAATTATGACCATGTTGTATACACTCATATTGCAGCAAACTTTGTCCTTTTTTCAAAAATATACTACTCCCTCCGTTTCTAAATATAAAACTTTTTAGAGATTTCAATATGGACAAACATACAAATGCATATAGGTATATTTTAGAGCGTAGATCCACCAACTTTGCTCCGTATATAGTTTATATAGAAATCTATAAAATGGTTATTAAGGAAGGGAGAGAGTATGTTGCAAGGTTTGTTTAGACAACGGCCCTGGCACTTTGCAGCGTGAGGAACGCATGGGCAGCCATGAGCCAACAAGAGAGCCAGAGCTGAACGCCTGAATCCAAAGCTGAGGAATAAAAAAGAACGATCCGTTGAGCAGTGCTGGGATCCACCCACATGGACGGGTTCTACTTTTTTTTTTTGAACACAAGGAAGGCGCCATCAAGCGCCACAATTTCATTCAACTCGTAGACAATGTACAGCATGAATTACATAGCCCTAAACTTGAAAATTGAGAAGGGACTGCAGAAAAGGGCAAGGTACATTGGCATGAGAGGAACGTGAACAACTAAAGACAGGTTCTACTCTCGAGTTGAGAACCTGATGAGCACAATTGTGAGCAATTCCATTGGTATTCCTAGAGATGTGATAAACAGCATTAAGAGAATGAGAGATTTGAAAGAACTCGCTAATTGGTTGTCTGCACCTCCAGCTGATGTTGGTGTTATTGATATCTCTTGAAGCAGCCATCTTTGCTAATGAAAGATTGTCAGTGAGAAAAGAACCTTGCTGAAGTTGAAGCCTGCAAGAGATTTTAGCAGCAAATAGAAGTGCATAAACTTCAGCAATAAGAGGTGAACAAACATCATGAGTAGAGGCTTGAATCATTATTCTTGAATCAGAACCCTCTTCAGGGAAAAGGATGTGAACACCAATACCAGTAGCCGGATTACCACCATACCCAGGCACATTCTTCTTATGCCAAGAAGCGTCTGAATATATTTTGGTACCTGAAATAGCCAAGTCAGATTTGAGGGTGGAGCCTTGCTGTACTTGTTCTTGCCCTTGAGAGAGTATGGTTGTAGATTGCTTCTCCTCCGATGAAGGCAGCTCCCTATTTAGGTGTTCTTGAGGATCTTGTATATCTTGGACAGAGGCGATGGCTAGAGCAGCTTGGTGAACCTGATGGGGATGTGATTCTTTCCTACAAAAAAGAACATCGTTTCTTGCTTTCCACAAACACCACAAGAAGGTAAATATATTAGGAATAGATGATTGCGGATGGTTCATGTTAATTAGAACCTGAATAATATCAAGAACAGAATTATGATTGAAAGCAAGAATATCAGATCTAATATACCAGGGGTGTCCGAACCAAGAGGCTCTAGAAAAGTTGCAAAGAAAGAAAAGATGCATTTCATCTTCATCTGAATCACATCTAGAGCATGTAGAAGAAATATGAGAGGAAAACCTGCCAGCTCTAAGACCAGTTGGGAGAGCATGCCTAAGTAAGCGCCACGCAAAAGTTTTAACCCTTGGAGCCATGAATTTGTGCTTCCAGACCTGCTGCAAAATATCTTTGGTTGATTGGTTCACCTGTCTTGGTTGATTTACCTGCAAATTATGAATTTGTTGTAAACACAACTTATATGTACTCTTAGAATTGCACTTACCAGAAGGAGTGGGCTTCCAACAAAGGATATCCCTACTATCATCAAGAACTATAGGAGTTGCAATAATAGCCGAAGCAGTCGGTTCCTGAAAGAGGTTAGTAATGAACTCAGAATTCCAAAGTTTTTGGCCTGGAAGCCAAAGATCAGAGACCTTAGCCGGGTAAATAAAAGCACTATGCTGGACAATAAGGTGATCATATATGTTCTCCCAAGTGGTACACCAAGGTGAGCTCCAAATAGAAATGTTGCCTTGGGTGATCTGATAAAAAGAATGCTCCTTGAGCATCGGCAAGACCTTGAGAATAGAAGTCCAGAAAGCAGATTTCGGAGTATTTGGAGTAGCTCTCCAAATGGAAGAATCAGGAAAATACTTAGCACGGAGAACTTGATAGACTTGGCTTTCTGGATTTTCAGCAAGTCTCCAGGCAGCCGCAAGGAGACCTTGATTCATAGCCAACATGTTTTTGATTCCCAATCCACCTTCTTTTTTAGGAGTACAAATATCTTTCCAAGCCCTAAGACATAAAGCTCTTGCACTAGCTTCCTCTCTAACACCAACCCACCAAAAATTACGAATGATTGCCGTGAGCTTCGCAAGGAATTTTTTTGGAAAGAGGATATTGGACATATAGTAAACAGGTATGGAAGCGAACACCGAATTGATAAGCTCAAGTCTAGCAGCATGGGATAATTTATCAGCTTTGTAAGTGGGAAGCTTATTCTTGAATTTATCATAAACAAAGTTGTAAGCCGAAGCACGGTCCTTTGCAGGAAGGATGAGAGGGTGGCCAAGGTGAGTTGATGTACTATCAATAAGGGTAACTGGGAAAATATTATTGATATGTTGGGCTAGAGACTGGGAGACAGTAGCACTAAAAAGAATAGAAGATTTGTGCCAATTTGGAGTCTGACCTGATTGGGAACAGAAGTGGTTGATGAGATGAGCCATTTGGGTAGCTTCCTGAACTGTGGCGTTACCACAAACCAACAAGTCATCAGCAAAAAGCATTGAATGAATAGGTGGACAGTTGATTTGGACGGGTTCTACTTTGCAACGCTGTTTGTGCTAAAAGAAGCAAACGGCGCCGCGGATCCAATGGACAGAGTTGAAATCATCCAACGGCTACCAACCCGGCTGCTCCGCCCGTAAGATTATACTCCCTCTGTACCGAAATATAAGTCGTTGGCGGGTTTTCCGACCAGGTGAAAAAGGAGGGAAATGACCAGGTTACCCCTGGTTTGAATTCCGCCAGATCCCTAAGTCGTCTCCTACCTCCAGCCCCGCCTCCACCTCTCCCTCCTCCCTTCACCCTCCACCTCTCCCTCCTCAGCCATGGCCAGGCCACCATCCCCCTGCTGCTGGCGCCTCCATCCTCTTTGCTGCTGCTCGCCTAGTACTGCTGCTGCCTCCTCTTTGCTGCCGAGCAGGAACTGCTGCTGCCATATCTTTGCTGCTGAGCAGGACCTGCCAGGGCCAATATCAGATGGTCTTGTTCCAGTAACAGGTGAATTTCCTGAACATCAGCAGACATGAAAAACAATGATGTAAATGTATTGTACTGTACTGTGATGCACAACCAGGCAGTAATTGACTGAATTGCAGTACAATGATGTGGTAGATTTTGATGTGAAAAACAATGTGCTCCAGGAGTACTGTACTGTGAAAAACAATTAGAGTAAAGATGAGCTTGCAACTGAACATCTAGAGAGGACCCAAAAAACACAAACAACATCTATTTTCCGATGTACTACATCCAAAAGAAAAGGATAAAAACAAAAGTGAACTGGTTGGATAACATTTATCTGTATAGTGCAGAAAATCCAGTAATATTTGGTCCGGATTTCTGTACCAGATCATGGTTCTTACTAACAAAATCCTGTTTGAGTGCCGATTAGAAGAATCTGTTATCACTTGCTGGAACAGGTTAAAGCTTTTCTTGTTCCTTTTCTGTTTATTCTTTGTAAGTTGATACTCCTAATCCCAGGAGTATATGTTACAGGAAATGCAAACCACAAAGGAAAGAATCCTAATCCCAAATTCCTCTCCAGCAACCTGAAATTGTCATAATTAACTGAACAAATTTCAGTTAATTAACTGAAAAGGTTTCATTTAGTTTTAATTAAAGAAAAAAGATTCATTTAGTTTTATTTAAAGAAAAAGATTCATTTAGTTTTAGTGAAAGGAAAAGGTTTCATTTAATTAAAATTAAAAGAAAAGTTCCAGTTAATTTTAATTAACTGAAAATGTTTCATTTAGTTTTAATTAAAGGAAAGATTCCTTTAGTTTTAATTAAAAAAGTTTCATTTAGTTTTACTTAAAGTAAATTTCCATTTGTGTAATTTCATTTAGGAGTACCTACTACTGCTTTCAGTAGGAGTACTGAAACTTGCCAGTTGGCAAAAGTACTACTTCTGCAGTAAAATTACTGAAACTACTCCTAATGCAAGCAAATTTTGCACTACAAAAGTTGCTATGTGCAAGCAAAACTACACAAAAATACTCCTGCAACTTTTCAGTACAACTACACAAAACTGCTGGAGTAAAAGCAACAGCAACATCACATTAAGAAACTACTCCTATTTCAATGTGAATAATGGAGTACAGCAGCAACATCACATTAAGAAAGTGAACAAATGTATTGAACCTACTCCTGACTTGCACAACTACTCCAACTACTCCTGATCAAGGAGCTCCATCGCAGTAGTTTTACAGAACTGAATTTCAGTACAACTACTCCAACAACACAAAAGCAAAATGGAGTAGTTCAACTACACAAAACTTGCCATGTTAAACTCTTTGATTTTGATTTTACCAGTAGTTCTTTGAATTTGATTTACAAAACTTGCCATGCTTGATTTACAGAATGGAGTTTACCAGTACAAACTCTTTAATTTTGATTTGTGTACTGCTCAACTATGTTAGTTTTGAGGCTCTGATCTACACTCTAGACCTCTGAAATACGCAAGGCCGCAGCGAGAACGCAACTCACTTCTGGCCGATTCAGTTGACGTGCAGAACAACTAAACTGAACTGATTTAGCTACTGAAGAAATAAGCAGTGACTGAATCAACTGAACTGAACTTATCTAGCTACTGAAAATAGCAAGCAGTGACTGAAACTGCAGACACAAGTACTACTGTCGGCACTCCCTGTTTCTTGGCCTGCTGAAGAAAGAAAGCAAACGACCAAATTCAGAGTTTACCACGGCTCGCAAGCAAGCAAGCAGGGCATGAGAGGGAGCAGAGGAGGGCTTACCATCAGTTATGCCGGAGTGGAATAGATGGTGTGAAAGATTATGTGGGTGCTCATTGCACTGACATGGCAACAAAGAGCACGATGTGCTTCCCCATGGTGCCTCAGCGCCTCCTCGAGCTTCCTGTCATCGTCAACTTGCCAGTCCAGGACCAGCCAAGAGAAAAAGTGTGCGCCGTAGCCAATACCAGCGCTGAACTCCTTCGCATTGCCTGCACCTTAAGCTCTCCGTCACTAGAGGAACTCCGCCAGAACCTGTTACTTCACAGAACACCAACTGGGCGTGACTTTCTGCTGCTGCCAATAAAAACACACAACCGATATGCAAATACTGCACTGCCCACAGCTAAGACCTCCGGGCCTGCATCTATTTTTGAACTTGTTCATAATTTTGGTTGCAGATCATCATTACAACGTAAGCCCTGTACAGCACAATTTGTTCACTGGATCATTGCTGGGCTAGCTAGCATGTGAATGGGCATACTGTGCTCCGCCGTATTCATCATAGGAAGGAAACCGCAAGCTGAGCAAGAACAAAGGGTTCTGAACTGAAGAATGATATTATGCTTACAAAGTACAGAAAGTGAGGATATTTCCGGACATTCATTATTAGTACAGTGTATTACACAGGGCTCTGCCTCTTTTTCCTGTCCTGTTTTACTTGGTGGAGGTGTTCTTGATAAAGCCACACGACGGTCAACAACTCACCGCCGCTGCCAAGCTTCCTCGCATGCGCCTCCCTGTTGCACCGGTTGGCTGCGTAGAATAGGAAGTCCAACCACAGCCTTTGCAGCATCCAAACCTTATTTTCCTTTCTACGAAGCACTGTTCTCGCAATAGTGCGTGCATAACTGAGCCTAGGATTATTGAAGTTGGGGTCTTCCAGCTCTTTCAGTATGTCAATGGCGATCTCCTTCTCAAGCTCAGAAGGTTTCCAGCCACGGTGATGGTGTGGTCGGAACAAGTTCTTCAGCACAGTGTAGACGCTTTTGCGAGGAGAACCAGCAACGTGTTTACTGCGTATCTTCTCTAGCTGTTTGCAGGTTTGCTCGTACAACCAGTTTTGAGGAAGGCCTGGTAGCATGTCGGGGGAGCCCACGAGGAGGAACATCATGTAGTTGGACAGTACACTGACTAGCTCCACCTCATCGTCAGACACGTGATCGCCCCTTCGGTCTGTTGCAGCAAGGATCAAGTCGGTAGCGATGTGCCAGCTGATGACGCTCTCATGGAAGTCAACTCCATGAAAGACATCCAACTCAATCAACAGCCCAGGGTAGTGCTCTTCATCCAGTGCCGCTTTACCCCATCCAGTCCTGAGCAAGCCCATTGTGTTCATATCAATTGCTGTGACATTACTCCATGCAAACTTCTTGACCTTCTCAGGGACATCAATGGTCCACAACTGCCTCCTGTCCCACCACTCACCAAGGTTCAGCATCTTGGACAGATTGCCTAGGCATTGACTCATCGGATCCACCTGTCTGGCACAAGACCGCAGCATGTTGCGCTGCCCCATGGTGCCTGACCATCTCCTTGAGCTTACTGTCATGATCATCTTGCCAGGCCAAAACCGGCGAACAGAAAAAAGTGTGTGCCGAAGCCAATGCCATCTTCCAGAACACAGAGCAGAATGCCGGAGCCAATCCCATTGTGTGGTACACAAGAAGGCAAAGACCCAGCTTGACCCTAGTGCGACAAGGAGCGATTTCGTCTCCAGGAACAAGGCGCCAACCAACAAGGTGTACGTGATGGCAACATCAACTAGGCTGTAATCATCTTTGCTGCTCAACTGGAACAAGACGAGAGAGGTGGCAATGGCGGGCGGCGAGATGACACGGATGCAGTAGCCAACCCAAGTGTGGACTGCGCTTGCCTTTGTGTACAGGATATCATACATGAGGGAGAGCTCCATCTCCATCACCCTCCACATGTGTTGACGGTCTTTCGAAAAGCCCTGGATTATTTTGCTGTCCAGAGAATCTACCTCATTCTGGCTATCCGAGTCATCCACCGCAATCACGCAATCAACTATCCCACGCTTGCAGATATGAAACAGGGAGTGAGCATGCTGCAGGACTAGTTCGTCATCGCTGTACCAGTCTTGATACTCGGTGTAAAATTGCTGGTGATGTATGCCATGTGCCCGTACCTTGAGAGAGCTCCGGAGGCTGCTGAACTTGGCGGATCGGAGCGCCCATGTCCTCTCCCCATACTTTGCAGCACCGACAACAGATATCAAGATGGCAGCCACCATGAGCAAGGTCCCGCTACCGACAATATGCTTGTATAGGACATATCCAGCACCCAGGACCTGGACCAGAAGGATTAGCAAATGGCGCCCCCAGAGCTTGCTATCCTCGAGGGCGTAGGCGGTGATGTTATCCGGGCCGCCGAGGTGCAGTAGGAGGAACGGCACCCAGAAGGCGATTAGGTGGTGGTCTTTTTTTGCGCCGCTTAAGAGGAGCTGGCCAGCGGCATATGTCGCAGTGGAGTCGGACAGCTGGTACGCCACCCAGAGGGGGAACCTCAGCCAATTTGAGCCGTCTTTATGCCGACGGATGTTGGCAAAGATATGGAGCATGACCTGGAAGAAGAGGCTCAAGAGAACCCCAATCTGGGACGCCCAGTCATTCCAGAATCCCAACGGCCCTCCAGCCATTGTTGTGAGCTTGATCCTGCAACGCAAGCACTGTAGATACGTAAAATCAGTAACGACAATTAGACAAGCTAAGAGCGCAGCCTAATTGCATATAGTGAGCTAGGCTAGGAGATGGCAAAGTGGCGGCATGATACCTCACAACTCTGAAGGAAGAGAACACCTGAACTGAAGAGTATGACACTGCTTGCCAGTGAGTCCAGATCAACTGAGTAGTGGTACTAGCAGTAGTAGTCTACTGGTGAATGAATATGCTATCCATTTCCATGTTACAGGAGCTAGCCAACAAGGGATGCCAACTAGACACATGTCCACTCTCAACAAGCAGCCAAAGAAGCAAGAAATTAAGAACACTGATGACAGCGAGGAGTCGCATGTGAGGGTACGTGCTGGATGCACACATTTTGAAGGATAATTCAGATGAGGTGCATAAATAGAGTCTCAAACATGTGCCTGCATCTGGACACCACACTGTCGTACAGTCCTATAATTGACTCGAGACCATGGCAGTGTGCAAGCTGCATTCAGTCGACCAACAGTACTCTATTCCCGGACCATGTTATGGCAGGCCGGCTGCCGTCTAAAACAGAACAAAATTTTAGAAGAAGTGAAAAACACAACTTTTTTCGACGGGTTAAAATGGGTTCAGATGTTGATAAGGAAACACGGCGGAGGAACTCACATGGCAGCAGGGCGGGCATGGCGGAGCCGACCGCGGGCGCCGATGCGTCCGAGAGGCGCTTGACTGATGTGCTCGCGGTCGGTCTAGCTAGGCGCCGCGCCTGAGGACGGCCGCCGTCGGCGACCAGAAGCTCCACGCGAGCAGAGCGGCACGGGGAAGCTACATGGCGCGGGTGGTCGCGGCGGAGGCGGCTGGTCGTAGGTACGGACGGGAGGAGGCGCCGAGGCCGAGGAGCGGTCGCGGTCGCGGTCTCCGCCATGGCTGAGCAGAGCGCGATTGATTTTGGGATGACCAGATTTGGGGAATTTCCTACGGAGACGCCGCCACAGCTCCACGACTGGCCCCGCCAAAGATATGGCCTTTTTTTTCTTAGGCAAAGATAGCCACGCGGTCAGACCTGGCCATATGGCCCGTGGTCTTCAGCCCGTCGCAGAACAAGGGCGATCTTGAATGACAGGCTTTTAGGCCTGTCAGGGCACGGCCCTTTGAGTTTTGATATATTTTTGTATTTTTTATATATTGTTAAATTTCTTATTTTTTCTGACTTTTTATAAAAGAAATCTTAATTTGTACTCACAAGGCTGAAAAGCAACACGGGTCGGCCCACAATCATGTGATACGTCTCATATCTATGATTCTCTATTATTTCATGATATATCTATATCATTTTGGTCTAGTTGTACATCACTTTGTATTAATATTTCGGACTGACCTATTAATACAGTGTGAGTTATTGTTTTCTGCTGTTTTTGAAATTTTTAGGAAAATCAATTTTATCTGACTCAATAAAATTCAGGAAAAAATCAACGGAAGATTTACATCTAAAAAGACTCGGCAGCAAACAACATAGGTCAGGGGGCACACAGGGGCCCCACACGCCACCCCACGCAGCAGAGGGGTGGCCTTCCTGAAGCTCTGATTGCCTCTTGGTCCCCATGCCTTTATATACCTCTGAAAACTCTCAGAATTTTATCGCCTGAAACTTTCTGCCGCCGCACACCCTCTGTTTCTTCGTGATCCAATCTAAAGGCCTATACCGAAACTCTGTCGGAAGGGGGAATTCTTCATGGTGACCATCTCCATCAACTTAAAGGCCATCATGATCATTCGCAACTAGTTTTCTTTGGACTATGGGTCCATAGCAGTAGTTACATAGTTCTCCCTTGTTTCTCAATACAAAGATCACATGAGCTGCCCTACATGATTATGATCCGTCTAATGTAATTTCCTGGTGTGTTTGTTAGGATATGATGAATTGTCACTTTGAGCAGTTTTATTTATGAATTCTCTTGAGATTCATATGGTTTTTTTTTTGCATAATTCTTATTCATATATGCTCTCCGATCTATTCTCTCTTTCTAATGGCTCGAGAATTTATCACTTTTTGTGGAGAGTTTTGACTTGGTTTTCACCGTTTTTTCGTTATTTTTCAGTTATTTCTAACACTAATCCTTCCAGAAAGAAGAAAACTCTTTTTTTTGGCAGGAAACTACATTATGAAAGGAAACCAAGCAATAATACATGAAATCAAGCCATTTGAAGCAACTTTCATATTGGAAGATTTTGCACCAACGGCTACTGAACGCAAGATGGCCCCTTTGTCGAGGAGGCCCCTTTGTCGAGTGTATGCATTTTTTTTTTTTTGAACACGAGTGTATGCTTTTCTACATCCCACGGCAAATGTCTTTTGAGTACACAATAGGAAGAACTTGACAAACTAACCTTTAACGGCAGGAGTCCCGCCGAGTCACGTTTGTGTTGCACTTTATTTTTGTCCACGGTCTGCCGAGTTGTTTTTGTCCATGGCAATTGGCAAAGTCCCAAAAGTCTGGTAGTCTTCTCTGCAAGAAACCTTTGTCAGACCCGATGAGATACCGACAAGAAACGCGGTAGTATGTAAGAATCCGAGTACTGATTCGTTTACAACGGCTGCCACATTGCACGCCGCGGTTCTGCGCACGTCGATTGATGCTATGATGGGAAAGAAAGCAAGGCCGTCGGCACGCGACGGCGGCCACGGCGTAGACCTGATCAGCGACCTCGGCGACGACCTGCTCCTCCGCATCATCGGCCTCCTGCCCGACGCACGTGACTTGGCTGCACTGGCCGCGCTATCGAGGCGGTGGCGCCACCTCTCGACGCGCTCCCCGACTCTACACCTCCACCTCGTGTACCGCACCGGCAAGGACGAGGACGACGAGACCCTAAGGCTTCGTTTGATAGGGGAGGTTTTGCAGCCCCGGAATGGAGGGGGATCTGAGGGGATTTGGTTAATTCCTCTCTTCCACCCAATCCCCTCAATTCCTCACTAATCCCTCTCCCCTTATAAACCCCTCTATTTGGTTAAACCTCCTACAAACTCAATCCCAACGTGTCAAATAGGCTGACAAAGATTTCTGGGGATTCTGAACCCTGCGAGGATATTCTCCTCCAAACTTCCCCAAACCTCCTCCACCAAACAAGGCCTAAAGCGGTTCAACGCCTCCGCACACCGGTTCAACGACTTCATCGATGCCGTCCTCCAGCAGCGCGTCTGCAGCATCGACACGCTGCATATAGACGTCCTTCGCTGGCCCGGTGGAGCGAGCGCAAACCTCTGGCTACGCCGGGCAATGGAGCTCGTGGTGAAGTCACTGCACCTTTCCATGTCGCTGCCGCCGTCGAGCGACCACCAGACCCCCAAGGACTGCAAGATGTGGCTGCCTCGCTGCACGAGAGCGGCGGAGATGCTGCTCGACCTAGACTACGCCGTCCTCAGGCTCCCGGCCGTGGTGGAGTTCAACGCGCTGACCGACCTGTCCCTCCGTGTCATATCTCTCTCGCGAGGAGACGGTCGCCGCCTCGGCCGCCTCCTGTCGTTGACGTGCTGCCCGAGGCTGCAGAAGCTGGAACTCTATTACGTGTGCGGGCTGCGAGAGCTGCAGCTCGACGCGAGAGCGCTAGAGATCCTGAAACTGGAGGAGCTCACCGACCTGAGGCGACTGGACATGGACACGCCACGGCTTTCTTCCTTGGAGGTCGGTAGCTCGGTGCTACGCCGCGACCCCTCCAACTTCACCATCCGGGCGCCGGCGCTGGAGCAGCTGCACTGCGCCCTCATGCCCTATCCACGAGAGATCGAGATTCAGTACAGGTTCAACATTCAACTGCTGCAAAGTTGCACCTCCGTCCGTCACCACATCGTCGAGCTCCATGTTCCACAGGTGCCTACTACCACGGCTGACACATTATCTCCCACAAAGACCAACGACCCATCGCGAAGAGAAGTTGACTGACGGGGATGTCTCGAGAAGAAATTCCAAAATAGGTAGCCTCCCAAATCAAACATACATTGACAGGGGTTGCCAACAAAAAGGGAGGAAAGAGGCCCTAGTGAATTTGATATGGTACCGTACCCCAAGGAAGGGGTATACTATACTACGCCAAAATGCAAAATGTTGAATGAGGTAGGGAACCCTGAACAACACCTCGCCCTTTTCAAAGCTACATGCGGGAATACTGGGGGCAATGAATCCCTTCTTCTCCTATTCTATACTAAATAAACAATCTAATTCTAGAAAGAGTTTTGAATACTGAAACTTAAAGGAAGGGCGGTTAGAACAAAGCAAGGGATGACACTTTCAATGCGCGAAATCCGTTTCGAGTTAGAGTGCGAAACTTCTTGCTGCAGTCGTTTTATTCACTGCTTGCTACTTCCTAAAATGGAAGATAAGATGAATGAATGAATAGATTGCATTTTTTTCTAGTTCAATCTATAGTCTAGATTCCATTCCCTCGATCCACTCTCATTTAAATGATGGGATTGGGCCATACCAACCTTCACTTAGTCTTAATAAAATATTGCTTCATATCTTCAAGGATTGGGAGGAGGTGGCGTAAAAAGGAATTTGAAATCCGTCCCTTCCCATAGAATCATCGGGCTTGACTTTCCTTACTTTCCCAACCCCGCTACTGTAAAAAGAACTCTTTTGTTTTGAGACTAGCTAGTCGCTATGGTTTGCGGGAAAACTCTTCTCTCTCTGGTCTGACTTCGAGTCCTTCTAGAAGTAAATAAAGGAAATGCTTATTCAACTACGGCACTGTTGGACAACCGACCGGATTCAAGCCCTAGCCCCTCAACTCGGACGGACTTGTGGAAATCCTCGAAAACAAGTATTGCTCAACTCATCTATCTATAATATAGAAATGTTGCATCCAACCTGGAACGAGAGGTAAAGAATAGGCTACCATACGAGATGAGACGACTTCATTCTTGGCTTTCATCCCTACGCTTAAGAAAGATAAGGGATTGGATTTCATACCTTTTATTTAGAGCTCCGTC